AAAGCCAATATCATCATTCCTAGAACAATTCCGTGGAATCAAATAACTCTTCCTGAACAATGGGAGTTAGAAAACCAAATTCCTCAACAAATTGTTCATAATTCTGATTCTACAAATATTATTCAACATCCTGAAGGTAGAGTAACAATACAATTCTCTAGGAGATCTGTTGATATTCCCAAAATATCTTGTCTTATTCGATCCATTCCTTCATGGCATTCCAGCTCCTCTAGGAGATCGGTATATTTAAATCCAGATTTATCTTCTATAGTCACTCCAGAAGTAGGACAACCAAGCGCTCCTACTCCTACCAATATTAGTGACATAGATAATAGGTCAGGAATATCTAAACCAGTTTACCAACAAAGTCCAGACTATCCTGAACCCACACCCTTTGAAATGGAAGATCCCAAAATCAATATCTTAGAAAAAGATTTTGAACCAAACAAGGTTTTACTAAATCAAGAATTTAATTCTTCCAAAAATAAAAAAATCAGAGAATGGTTCTTTTAAAATTTTTAAAGATCAAGCTAAACAGATCAAAGAAGATTTTTATAAATATATGTATGAAAATGAAGTTCAATTATATTTTTTTGATTGGTTTGAAGAAGAATTTTTACAAGAAAAACAAATATGTGTTTTAGATCAATTTTATAAGTGGAAGTTAGATAATGGCCAAATCATTGAATCTAATCACCCCCCCCCTAGAAAAATAAAATTACAGCATTGAGAAACAGAAATTATTGTTTCTCCTTTTAAAACATCTTCAAAAATGGAAGACATAGGTATAAAAAAGATTGTTGAACAGAATAATTATTCTAATCAACATCTTTACACCATAGGAAAACAATTAGATAGAATAGAATTTTCTGTTCAAAACAACTCATCCAAAATCATTTCTTTATAAAAAAAAATTTAAAAACACCTCTTTTTAAAAATTTTGAACTTCCTAAAAATCCTAGTACAGAATTTGCTAAAGCTCTAGATGAAAGAAAAAGGATTCTTAAAGGAAAAACGATTTTCAAACCAGAATCTTCATTAACCTTAGATACTCCTATAATGGGAAATATTGTTAAGGATACTCTTGATCAGATTAATGCTCTAGATAAATCTGATATAGAATCCGTTCTAGAAATAAACAAGATTACTTGGAAAGACCCTCAAAAATTATATTTTTCCAGAGCAACACCTCCTGATATAATTATGGAAGAATCCTCTTCAAAAATACATAATGAATACTTTTCTGATGCTATTTATGAATGGAATATAGATGGTATCTCTGAACAAAACCTGATAAATGTGCTTACCGAAATGGTTATGCTTGCTAACACGTATAAAACCATTCCAGATACTACCGACCATTCTGTAGCATATCTTTAATAGCAGGATTTACGGGACAATTGAAAGGTTGGTGGGATAATTATTTAACTGATGAACAGAGAAATCAAATTCTTAGTGCTTATAAGTTAGATGATTATGGTCAAAGCATAGTTGATGAATAAGATCAACCCATCCAAGATGCTGTTAATACTCTTATATTTTCTATATCCCAACATTTTATAGGAGATCCATCTCACATTCGAGATAAAAATCAAGATCTTTTATCAAATATGAAATGTAGATCTTTAGGAGATAAATAAATATTTCTACAAAGAGTTTTCCAAAGAACATATTGTAACCAGCCATTTTGGAAAGAAAAATTTCTGGCTGGATTATCCAAACTCATAGGAAAACAAGTTCAAAATAAGATAAGAGAAGATTATGAAGAACATATTCCATATGACCATCATTCTTATAGAGAACTAACCTCTTATGTCTATAAAATTGGAACACAATTATGCACTAATATAAGACTTCAGAAACAACTTAAAAAAGAACAACAAAATTCTAATAAAGGACTAGAAGATTTATATGCCCAGTATGACCCCTCTTTTAAATTTGAAGAAAACTCCAAAAAGTCTAAATCTAGATGCTCAGGAGATTATACACCTAAACAAAAAACTAAGAAAAAATTTAATAAAAAATTTTCAAAGAAAAAATTTTCTAAGAAAAGAGAAGAAAAAGAAAAATTTGAAAGAACTAAACCCCCGAAGAAATCTTTCAAAAATATAACATGCTATAATTGCGGGAAAAAAAGGTCACACTTCTAGATATTGCAAAATCAGCTAAAAAGTAAATGAATTAAATTTAGATGAAGAAACTTTTAATCAACTAAGTCAAATCATGATTGAAACTGACAGCCGTTCTTCTTATGAATCTATTGAAGAATATGGTCTTCTGGTAAATGAAATAGAAACCACTTCTTACTCTGAAACTGATAATGAAGAAACCACTTTTGAAATTAATGTTCTAACCAAAGAGGAGGAAGTCCTCTTACAAACCATTGATCAAATTACTGATCCTGAAATGAAAATTAAAATCAGATGGGCCCGTTAGGGTGCGCATCTAATGAGAAATCTTTACAATGCTCATTCAAAAAAATATCTCCGTCCATCCAATTTAATCACCGCACGTTTGTCTAAGCTATCATGAAGAAGGTACGCTCCAGAACGGACTTGAAGTGAACGTCCAATCTATGACCATTTGTACGATGCGACGAGACATAGCACTGATACATAAAAGTAGTTAAGTCGGTTTAAAAGTTTGATTGCAACCCTTCATTAGCATCTCCACGCGGCGTGCCCCATATCTAGAATACAAGAATTAAAGACCTAGCGAACAAAATCCACTAGGAATTGCATCACCATGTTCGGCCGACCCTTCAAAATTGCATCTAGAAACAGAAATATTTGGTTAGGGGTGTCAAAAAAACCCGAGCCGGCCCGGTTCGGCCCTAAAATTTAAGGTATTTTGGGGTTGGGTCTCGATTTTTTTAGGATAGGACTTTTAAGATGGGTAATGTTAGAGTTAGGGTAGGGTCAGAACCGGTCCATTGTTAGACCCATTATTCTCCCTCTTCTCTCTCCTCTCTCTCTACGTACAAAAAGACTTAACCACCAAACCCCACATACACACACTCTCTCTCTCTCTCTCTCTCTCTCTCTCTCTCTCTCTCTCTCTCTCTCTCTCTCTCTCTCTCTCTCTCTCTCTCTCTCTCTCTCTCTAAGGAGTCGTGCTTGCTGCAGTGGAGTCGCGGGCACCGCCAGCAGATCTCGCCGCTCCTCAGTCTCTCGTCGGCGGCGGCGGCGGCTTCGGCTTCTTCTCCTTCTTTCCGACGGCCACGGTTCCGGCGTAGATCGGAGGGAAGGGGGGGATTTCTCGAGCTCGCTTCACTCATGAACGAGGTTCGCCCCCTTTCGCTCCTCCCTCTCCTCTCCTCTCGTCTCGTCTCGTCGGCATTGCTTCTCCGATAGTCGTTTTTTCTCCACCTCGATTTACATGTGGGGAGGAAGGATCAGATCGCGGGTGTTGTTGGTGGCTGAGTTTTTCTGCCGATCCTGCGGCTAAACGGTTGTGTTTGCGATTGTTTTCTCCGGCGCCGGGGGCCGGAGGAGGGGGAGCCGGCAGCGGGGAACCCTGCCGGCCACCGCCCAGTTCATGCTCTCCCGGAAGTTGGGAGCCGCTAGAAACGGCGGTGCGAGGCGGAGGGGAGGAGCCGCCCCTATCCATGGACCCTTCAAGCGGAGAAAGGGATGCTGGCGCCGGATAGAGACTAAGCAGGAGGACGATTTATACAACTCTGGTGAGATTTTGGCTTTGAGGCACCGGCACTGACCCGACCCTACCCGACCCATCTTTTGGGGTAAATGCTGAATAGGGTCTTGGGTTGGGGCGGGGCGGGTCAAGTGCGACCCCTCTACGTTTTGGGTCGGGTTGGGTATCAGGAAAGCCCAACCGATCCAACCCATTGACACCCCTACATTTGGTCATCGCGCATCAATTCGAGAGCACATAATTGAACCCAACTTCAAAAGGAAATCATCATATTGTTGGCTTCTCAAGTCGTGGGATGCGATCGTCACCGTTCATCAATAGATCCTCCGGTTTCTGCTCGACTCCCAACTATCTTTTACTCCATGGTTGGTGTGTGCGAAGTCATGCAAATAATGCCGACCTCATCAAATGTCATCCGAGTCAATCTTCCATAGAACAACCACCTTTTTTCCTAACCCTTTTAATCTCATCTTGTGTAGCTAGCAATAGCTTTTTTCCGCTTTCCTTAATTATTTAGGCAAAGAATCATTCTGTATTAATTAGAAACCTGCGACACGTGCACCTTGATTGCTTTTAATTAAAACACCGGAAACTTTCGCAACGTGCTAATATCGACACATAATTCTACTCATAATTTTCGATATAATTGTTTTGAGACTTGAATGGTGTTTTTCAGATATTTTACGGGAAAGCGAAATATTGCTTTTCACTGAAACTAAAATCAAACTCGAATGAACGTGTGTGTGTGTCTGTTTTTTTTAATCGGGCGCTTGTTCAAACTTGGCATGGAAGTACACTCGAAATAAGTTTACTTTTCCTAACGCCCCCGTCAGATTTGAAGCTGAAAATTCTCTGGTTGTTTGTTCATTAAGGATTTTGACCGATTGAGGGTTTGACCCCCACCCGCCCGAACCAAAAACGACAGCGTTCGTTCGGATCCCCTTCTAGAAGCGGACCTATTAAACGCGCGTCCGCTCCCCACACCTCTCTCTCTCTCCGTGTGACGTCAATGCGGGCGTCACAGCAACTATTGCCTCCCGTTGCGCGTACCACCAGCAGACGCTCCGGATGAAGCCACGTCGCCAAATCCCCCAAGCTACCCGGACACGTGTCGAAGGATCGACCGTCCCACCGAGTGACTGGACTGCCAACTCACGCGCCTTCTCGCCCCCCTTCCTCGCTTCCCGGCTTCGCCCTTTTCGGTTTCGCAATACTTGTCCACCACGGAAAATAAAAATTGATTCTGACCAAAAACAAATAAATTATTATTATTAATTTATTAATTAAATTTGAAAAATTCCACTCTCCGTGCTCCGAGAAAGTGAGAGAAAGTCTCTCTCTCGCTATATAAGCGACCGGCGATTTTGAGAGGAGCGACCAATTTTTCCTCCCCCAATTCTTCAGGATCCCCACCTGAGACCGGAAGCGGAACCGAGGACTCGATTGTAGCCTACCCGCCGGCGAGTTCTGTCATGGGCGGCGACGCGGCGGAGCGCCGCGAGGTCCCCGCGGTGAGCCTGGAGGGCCTGAAGGTGGTCTCCGCCCTGGGGCGCGGGGCCAAGGGGGTGGTGTTCCTGGTCTGGGACGCCGCGCTGGACCAGGCCTGGGCGCTCAAGGTGATCCTGAGGGACAACCTCGAGAAGAAGAGCGACAAGGAGGCGGCGAGGGCGAGCGGCGGCGGGACGGGGAGCGACGGCGGCGGCGGCGGCGGCAGCGACGGCGGCGGCGACGAGTACCGGAGGATCGCCTTCGAGCAGGAGGTCCTGGGGCTGTTCGACCACCCGCTGCTCCCGAAGCTCCGCGCCGTCGTGTCGGCGGAGAGGATCGTCGGCTACGCCATCGATTACTGCCCCGGCCGTGATCTCAACTCTCTCAGGAAGAAGCAGACGGAGAAGATGTTCTCCGACGACATCATCAGGTGATTATCCTGCGGTTCTTTCCTAGTCGGATTCCGAGCTCCGATTGGGGGCATTTTCGCTCGGAGAATCGGGTTTCGATTTCCCAATTTTTGCTGTTCTCGAATTCGTTCTTGGTATCGCCAATGTCGTGCGTCGCGATTCGTTTCTCAGATTCCACTGTATGTTTGCGCATTCTGCAGGTTTTACGCGGCGGAATTGGTTCTCGCGCTCGAGTACTTGCACGGCTTGGGGATCGTGTACAGGGACCTGAAGCCGGAGAACGTGATGATCCAAGAGGACGGCCACATAATGCTCGTCGACTTCGACCTCTCCACTAAACTATCTTCGAAATCCGCCCAATGCTCTCCGATCGCCGCCGACCGGACGCCCAAGCCGCAGGCGGCGAAGTCCAGGAGGCGATTCTCCCCGCTCCACGGATGCTGCCGCTCGGGCATCTCGCCGGACGACTCGGACCGTTCGAGCAGGCCCGGCCCCAACTCCATCTTCCCGGCCGAGTCGAACCCGGCGGCGGCGGCGGCGGGGAAGTCCAACTCCTTCGTCGGGACGGAGGAGTACGTGGCGCCGGAGATCATCCTGGGGGGCGGCCACGACTTCGCGGTGGACTGGTGGTCGCTGGGGATCTTCCTCCACGAGATGCTGTACGGGACGACCCCGTTCCGCGGGTCGAACCGGAAGGAGACCTTCTACCGGATCCTGACCAAGGAGCCGGACCTGGTGGGCGAGACGACGCCGCTGCGGGACCTGATAAGGCGGCTGCTGGAGAAGGACCCGGGCCGGAGGATCGGGCCGGAGGGGATCAAGGGCCACGAGTTCTTCGCCGGGGTGCGGTGGGACACGGTGCTGCGGATCCAGCGGCCGCCGTACGTCCCCCTGGTGGAGGAGCTCGAGGTGAGGGGCGGCGGCGGCGGCGGCGGCGGGTTCGACGTGGTGGGGTTCGTGGAGGGAATCTTTGGGAGTGGAGGAGAGGGCGAAAGGAATAAAGAGGAGGGCGAGAATAAGGTAAAGGACGGCGATGAGGAGGAAGAAGACGGGAATAACGATGCGAGCAAGAAGGCTTGGGTCGAGGAGCTGAACGAGCGTTCCTCCAAGGCTGCTAATGATTTTTTGGTTTTCTAACTTTTAGACATTCTTTTCCCTCCTTCGAATGATACGAAGCAATTTGTATATAGAAAGGCTACGACCAATAGATTTTGCCGAATTCGGATCGGTATCTTTCGTATGGTGTTAGTGGCGGCAGTGGCCACTTGGCTCGATGCTCTGTTCTCTCTGCTCTGGATGGAACTTCCCGATGGCATCGTGACACGACGAGGATGTGTCTTTGCCGAATATGGCGATCGTCATAGGTTATCGCGATGAATTATCGTTCGAATGTTTAGTGCCTATGGTGCTGAGCAAGTGTGGAGGATGTGTGCTTTGCATCTAAAACATTACTACAACAAGGGCATCGCGCCAGCAGAGAGAGAGAGAGAGAGGAGTACGGTTCCTCGCAACGACAACGACGTACCATATCAGAAAAATTAGGGTTACCACACGGTGGTCCCGCCCGACGTAGAACCTCCAGACCAGAGGCCGCGAGCAGTTTTTTAAAGTAGCTCTTTGTCGTCACGCATGACACTCCTGCTGTTGTCTCCCTTGCTGTCTGTTCATCGTCAATTGATTGATTATTCAGTCGCTGACCGACAAAACAGTATCCGTCCAAGTTGAACTGATTATAATGGCTTTTGATACGTACCCATTGTACGGGTGGTTCGGGTCGGGTCAAAATTATCCGGTCCGAATTGACCCAATTCCATGTAATATATATATAATTGTTTATACTCAATTCGATTCATATTGCTAAAATGCTTCTATATTTAACATAATCTATGGAAATTCATACCTAATTCGATCCGTATTACTAAAACACTTATATATTTAACATAATCTAGGGAATTTCATATCCCAAATTAAGGTGAAAACACAGATTGAGCAAGCGCGAGATCGAGAGAGAGAGTCATAGAGGCGAGTTAGGTCTAAGTAAGTTGTAAACACATTTGACACCCATATTAAACACATTTATGACTCATAGAGTTGGATCTACACCCATTTATGATTCAAAATCTAACCCATCAAATATGAATTAACAAATTGATCTACAACCCATTTTGACATATCTATTTATACGTTAATTAAACGATCAAGGTGTGTGCACATACATTCCCGAGGAAAATGCATTGCACATGGTCGAGAACCCTAAAGAAAGATTGGGAAGGTGCTTAGCAAGTCCAACCACGGCAATTGTTCTGTTGTTCTTTCTATTCGATTGGCTTAGGAAGGCTGCAAGCAATTGCTAAAATAAAAGTAGAGGGAACGAGTCTTGGCTTTTGACCAACCCACCCAAATCTTGGTGCAAAGCGTACCGACACGTCGGTAACTTAATCCCCAAGCAATCTTTATAAAACTTTTTACGACCCGTAAATCGAAATTTAAGAAAGTAAATTACATTACGTTTGCATTATTTTATAGATTCGATTCTCCGAATCAACGTTTGTATCTCCATATCCGCCTCAATTTGTCCGCGGAAATCGTTTTTACGTAGGGTCGTCGCATGTCATCGCCGGATCGTTAAGCACCACCCATCAATCCGGTCCTCGTCCACCTAACTTGTACTGTATTAGAAGCAGATCTCTTGCTTTGTCACTACGTAAGATGAGGATGATGGACACGCAACGAAAAAACGGAAGGGATGTACGTAACTTCAATGCTGTAAGTAATTGGGCGTGTTATCCTCCAATCTCTTTTCACCTCGGAAGGTCCATTGGGGGGGGGGACCGCTGGTGCGTGCGTGGAAGGAGGCACGTGAAGCACAGCCTTTATGTACACATCCGAGCTTGAACTGGCGTGGACCCTAAATGGTCCCGTCTGCTTCCATTTATTTCCGGTTTTCAACTGCATTCACGGGGTAATTGTCCCCCCCAAAAAAAAAACTTGAATCTATTTGTACGACGGCGGATTAAATTCTAAACTTTTCAATTTAGGTCAATTTCTTCCTCAAACTTTTGACGATTTGGTGGTGTAGTCCTTCCGGCCAATTTTGGCGGGAATACGATGCTGTGGACGAGGCCGTCTTCCGTGAGACAGCGGGCGATGACGTGGACGGTTTTAGCAAAAAAAAATTTCGCCGGATTTGCCCGGGGTGAGGCCACGGCGACCTTTGTGTCTCGCTGGGGGAGGGCATCACGGCCCTCGCATAGGAAAAACAACGAAAAAGGAAAAAATAATTCGGGAAATTTCTTTAAAAAATTATAAGAACCGTCCACGTCAGCGCTGGTCGTCGTAGGCCATGCCATGTAGCCGGCCAGCGCTGACAGGACCGCCATATCAACTATTTCTGGCCTAAATTGGCCAGGATGACTAAATTGGCAAAACTCTCAAAATATTCAGGACTAAATGAGCCAAATTGAAAAGTTTAGGAGTGAACTGGCTGCCGCACGATAAATTTAGGATTTTCTTGGAAAATTCTCCCCGACATTCACCATATGTCCCGGTACGTATGTTTCAAGCAACGCCTTTGCTTTAATTTCCACGCAGCTGTAAGGTGTTGTGGGTGTACGTGTGATCGTTTTTTAGGTGGCCAATATGCAGCAGTAGGGTCGACGTCGAAGAAGAAGCACACTCCCTGCTGGCCACACATGCCAAATGCCATTTATTGCTGCTGCTGTCGAGGACCGTTTGCCGTTGAGAACCCTTCCATCTGCCGCCAGCAATTCAATGTCCGAAAGATCTTCCTCTTTCGTTCTCGAGTTGTTTCAGCGCGAAGGGTCATATAGAGTGTCCCCGGGAAGATCGCGAAAATGTACGCGACTTGAACATTGCCATCGCGCGACTTGCTAACGTGATGTATTGTCGATCCATTGAGGGAAAATTGTCTAAATATACGTATAACTTATTATATGGAGGCTAATTCAGTCTTGAACCTTTCAAATGTGCCAATTTAGTCATAAATCTTTTAATGATTTATCGATTTAGTACTAAATATTTTGATGACCTGCCAACATAGTCCTCTTGGCCAAATATCCAAAAAATAGATTATTGGCAAATCTTCAAAAAGTTTAGGACTAAATTGACAAATCATCGAAAGGTTTATGACTGAATTGGCACGATTAAAAAGTTTATGACTGAATTGACCTCCGCACGATAGATACAGGATTTTTTGGACAATTATCCCGAATGTCTTTTACTCATGGGCATGGAATGGCCCCTACCTGAAAAGGAAGAAATTATCACAATTAAAAGGTCCACGACTAGCGCGCATGTGTCATGAAAAGAAAGAAATTCGATTGCCATCAAGCATCAAGTTAAAGTTGTATTGACTATATGGATCGCCCTACCTTTACGTAATCAGACGGTATAGAAAAAAAAAACGAGCATTAGGTAAATGATTCTACATGACTCAACCAAACCACGTGCTCCCATGTTTAATAATATTCCAAGTATTTAATCAAAACTTGGAAAATTCCAACAAAAAAAAATCTACAGCTTTTGAGATTTTCCATAATTTTAGAAATTAAAACAATTTTCGAATTTTCGACGAGGAAATCGAAATTCTCCTGAGGTGTTTCATGTCCCTCGAAGGACTCCCGAAGAGACCCTCGATTGGAAAGGCAATAAATTTCTTTTTTTTTTTTACGACATTATGAACACAACAAGGGCATTTTTAATGTCGAAATATGGTCCCACCTCGCTCGACAACCGATCTCATATGCTCTTTATATTCGCGTAGTCTTCTTCCGTCTATAAGCTCAAACTTTTAGGTAGGACTTTATAACACTTAATTTCACATACCGACCCTATAAAATATTCTCCTATGTCCATTAGAAAGTGCAATTATTCACATGACTTAAGTTTCTCTGTGGTCCACCAACCCCCAATTCACGAGAAAAGCCAAAAGCTTGATGCGCAAATTCGTGAGTTAGGTCCCTTCTTCACATGCCTAGTAGAAAAAGGCCACTTCTAGCTTAGGCACTTTTCGTCAAGCATGAGCACTTTCTATAATCTCTAATTAATTTGATTAATCTCGTGTCCTGTGTAATTATAATTGCTATTGGTAGTTGTGTAGACTTAAAAGTGAGTGATTAGTTGATTTAACCGCGCTTTTTGGCGGGGTTCTAATATTGATTAGGGCACGTCTTTATCATCTTAGGATGAAAATGCCCGATCACCTAACTTTTGATGCCAAACTACTCCGATTAGGATAGCATTTGTTTGGTGGAAAAAAAATCAACGACGTGGAAAAACACCTGCTCGAATGCGATCGCTCGCATAGGTTACTGAAATTAATTAACGAGAAATGTTTTCGTATTAATTTTAGTTTTCGTGTGAGGTAAAATTTTTGGGCGTTTGATTTCTTGATTCTCTTGACTTGGCTCCGCCAAATGATTGGCCATAGTCTTCGTGGAGGTCGATGAGAGTCACGTGACTTAAGCTCCATTTATTTTGAGGAAAATGAATGATTCGAAAGAGATTTTCCTAAAAATGATCGTTTACATTGATTGAAATAATTAGTCGATGAGAAAATATTTTCATTATTAACAACAATTTATATCCAAACATTTTCACGGACAATGAAAATATTTTTGATTCATTCATTTTTCGAAAGCGATACGAGCGATTAATTTTTTAAAAATATTTTTCAGATCATTCATTTTTGCGCGAAACTTGCAGAGCCTCATGTCAATTCATTCAGAGCACAGCACTTGCATGACTATATGCTCCTAAAAGAGAATTGACCTCTTTCAATCGACACTATTCATGACCTTAATTCGTGAACAACCAACCGAACGATTTGCTTGTCTCATATGTGGGTAAAAAATACTAATGAACAATAACGATGTGAAGAGATTGACTTTATCCAGCAAATGGTCTTCGAAAAAGATTTGGAAAAGGATATGTAGCTTGGTACATTGCTGACTAAATCAAGAAGAGCAATATTATTTTTGCAGATTGGAACGCAAAAATTGACCAAATTGCGTGGCGACTTCCCTCACTCCCAAGTAATAAAAATTCTAGTGGATTCTCCCACAAGTTCATGCCACCTTTTCAACCCCAACATTGAAGGAGGGCATATCTTAGCCTAGTCATAATATTGCCTCTTTACCCTCCCAAAAATAGCTAAATAATTGTAGAGAATTCTTAATTTATTGGGATAATGATATAAATAGTCCATGAACTTTGGTTTAATATACAATATGGTCCATGAGCTTCAGTCCAATATCCAATGGGATCTCTAAACTTTTAATTTGTTCAATATTGTCCTTGGATTTTTTGTGCATGTTCAACTTAGTCGCTGAATCATATGAAAATGTTCAATGTTGTTATTCCATTAATTCAAATTTAGGGACAACATTAAATATTTTCATATAGTTCATGGGCTAAATTGAACGTGTAACAAAGTCCAGGGACCACATTGAACAAATCGAAAGTTCATGGATCACATTACATATTGGACTATAGTTTATGGGCCATATTGAACAAATTAAAAGTTTACGGATCATATTGCACATTGGACCATAATTCATGGACCATTTGAGTCACTTTCCCTATTTTTTTTTTAATTATTTTGGG